ACTCTATAATTCAACAAATAAGTGTTTCTGTATACAGTATTGTTTATCTGGCCCAAACTTCTGGGAAAGCCATGCCCCCACCACTCTACAACTCAAGAAATGACATTATAATATTAATAGTTAAATTACAAGGATTTACTTTGAGATGCCGAACAAATAGTTTTGTTCATATGCCCAAATGGCATGTGCAATATGACAAATTGCTTGTGCAGTTAGTGGGAATGTTAAGGGAGATTTACAAAGAAGAACTGTGTAAATGATGTCCAGTGTGCAAATGTCAATTGTGAGGTGCAAAGTAGGAGGAGAAAACAACATTTACACTAGGCTTTTGTGTGTGCTACTTGCTCGTTGTAGCCTTGGCAAGTTCAGATCTCAAGGAGATTCCCCGAAGTGAAACTGGCAGCTTAAACCTGGTGTGAAAGCTTTGGAAACAGATATTCCACATTCCCTTCCATTTAGCCAACTAGCAGGACTGTGGGTAACCTGCTGCTAGCTTGGGTGAGTTATTTTCCTTAAACATACCCTGTGCTGTTCAGCTGAGCCTGCTAAATTAACTGGATTCCAAAGATCTGGAGTTGGAGACAGTTTTACCAGCACACATATTTTTCTCTTCACTTTGGTGGATTTCCTGGTTGTCAAGTAGATAGCCAGAAATAACTATGCAGTAAGACTTATGCTTATGCAGTCAGTGTTTGAATTTCTTGGAAGTCAAAGAAGGGGAACCAGCTTTTATGCTCACTGACTCAGCACTAACCATATCAAGAACACCATGTTTGACTCCAACAACTAGCCCAAGCCCTGCAGCCTAAACAGCTTTCTAGTCAAAAACACCCACGTCCAGTAAACTTTCTAGATGAATTATGACTTGGCAGCAGACATGGCTGAAATCACTGATTCACTGAGGTGGGCCCTAGACAGCAATCCTGACAATATTGCTGGGAAGGAAACTGCAGTTCTGCCACCAGTCCTTGCCTTTTTGTGACTGAAGGTCTCATCAACATCAGACCCGAACAAAATTGTTACTCTGTCCCAAGAAGTTTGTTCCCTCTTGCACAGAGATACTATAAAAATAGGTAGACTCCAGACTTAAAAACAAGGGATTCTATGCAACAATCTATTCAATTATTGAACTCCTTTTTCATAAGGAATACAGTGTTTTTTAGAGAGGGTTAAACTTGTTCCTAAAGACCCATCTCTTTTATTTGCAACAAGTAGTTCAAATCATAAGGGCAACAAATAATTCAAATCATACAGTCACAGGATTGGTTTATGTATGTAGGTCTCTGTGATGCTTATTTTCATGTTCCCATTGCCCCAGGACACAAATGCTTTTTAAAGATTGCATTCTTGTGGCAGTTATTCCAATTCAAAGTCCTGCACTTTGGCCTCTACCAAACACCACAGGTGTTTTCAAGATGAATGCAAGCAGTGTTGTCTCCTCTGATGGCAAGTGGCATCAGGATACTGCCATACTTGGGCAACTTGCTCCTATGTCCCCTATCAACGAGCAGGCCATCTGGGACATATCTACCATCTTCACCTGGTGAAAGCAGACCATACAGTTCATTGGTATATGGCTAGATTCACTGAGAATGCTAGCCACCCTACACGCAAAACTGTGGAAGATATTATCATACATGTAAAACCACTATGTGTAGTATTAGTGTCTACGGAGAATGTTAGGACTGATGATAGCAGCCGCCGCAGTGATCCTCCTAGGCTAGTCTGGAGCTAAAGGTATTTCATAAGTGGGTCATTGTCCTATGGTTGGAACCCAAATGCCACAGACAGAAACATGTTCTTGTCTTAGTGCAAGAAGCCCAAGTATTGGCTTGCTGGAGACACAGGGCATTCCTAACAGAGTATGTTTCCTCCATACCTGCGGATTCTTCCAACGTCATACAGAATTCAGTAACTAGGCCACAGAATACTGCTTGTGGCACCAAGATGGCTGGCAAGATATTGGTTCCCACTGCTGCTTTCTCCAATTATCAGAAATCCCTGGCGGCTTCCTCCTCAAGCAGGTCTGCTGTTTCAAGTAGATAGCCCCCCTTGGGCTGAATCACCAATTGAGAACTGCAACTTTGCAGTCCAGGAAACATCTCTAAATGCAAAAGTCTCTAGCACACAGATCTTGTTTTTTGCTTAAGTGGAAGCTGCTTTGCAAATTGTGTTTACCTCATCAGCTGGCCCTGGTACATTGCCTTATTTCCAGGATCCTGATTTTGGGGAACACTAGACACTGACAATTCCCCGTCTACACTAAAGGTATATGTGCCAGCTATCACACTGCACTGTAGCATCTTGGATGGCATTTTCTATGGTTCATTGGCTTATTACTGCCTTTCTAAAGGGATCAAGACATCTCCACATACTATGGTTACCTAAGAGCCTGGTTTAACACCTCTTTCTTGGACTTCTTTGGAGTGCCATAAGTCTGTGCAAGATACAGAATTGAAATGGCTATCTCTAGTAATGACTGCAGCAAAAAGAGTTGTGAAGTTAAATGCTATGGCAATAAGCTTGCCTTGCAGACATTAGAGGCCAGATAACTCTGGGATGACCATGTGGTTGAATGCAAGGTTATTTCACCAAACTTTGTAAATCAGTTTAGTGACCTTACAGCCTTCAAAGACAGTGACCCTGTAGGGCATTCCTAGCTGTGCAAAGTTCCTGTTCGTAAATCTGTTTCACAGGAGATTCTTGCTTTTTTGGCTTTTCTACTTCTACTTCCACTCCTGAAACTTTCATTATATTCTTTATAACTGCTGCATTTTTATTCCTTGAACTGCTGGATATCCAGGTCGTACTCTGAAAACAAAGTGGGCTATTGACAATCAGGATTCTTTTGAGAGCAAGTCTGGCCTTTTAGGGCAGGATAGTATCCATCCCACTTGGGAAGGTGCTGCTCACATTTCTTGTGCTATAGCTCATAGTCTTTTGACAGGCCTAGTTAATAGCTGATAATTCAGGGCTTGGGCTAGGCAGCAGAGAAACAGGCTACATCGACCATCTGCTAGCTGCCTTGAGGCATCAGATTTCAGATTCCAGATTTCACTCTATTGAGATTCTGTCTGTTCCCCAAGCTTAACAAAAATACAGAAAATATCAGAAAGTTTATTGTTGTAACCTGCCTAACATAAAAATTGTCTATATCAAATGCACATTTGATCTGAAGCTAATACTATTAAATATTAGTATAATATCCCTTACATCTAAAGTGCTTACTGTAAATGAAAATATCAGACATCAGGGACTGAATTTACTTTGTCTAACAGAAATTTAAATTAGACCAAATGAGTAGGAAACTCTAAATGAGGCTATCCCCAAAGATCTGGTGAGAACAGAGTTTGTGAGACTCATTGGAATGAGATAGAGCATCGCTTAGATAGAATGGGGCCACAAAGATGGGCATACTGTTGATTTAATACTGACATTTAGCATAGATAGACAAAATATAGTCATAGACAAAACATCCTACCCCAGTCTGAAATTAACTGAGTACCTTATTTCATATGAAATGCATCTCAGCCATTTCTTCTTGCAACCACATTAGCTGTACAATCACACCAGCTACTGTTCTCAGCTTTACTGAATATTTTCCAAATCTTCAGGTTTATTGGTTTCCCCTCTAACCCCACAGAACTTAATCAAATGACTGAATGCATAAACTCAATGTTTTCTATACACTAGACAATAATAATGTTGACCGATTTAAAAATAATTACAGAAAAATAGCTTGCACCTGGGTATAATGATCAAATGTGGATTATTAAAAAAGGGACCTTTTAAAATTTAGAAACTAAACTTGTGGTGTTCCAGATTGCATGGAAGCATGGAAATCCTGCACAAATATAGAAAGGCTCAGCTACAGGAATACGACAGGAATACGACAGACATTGATGCACAGATGCCAACGGTATGAACTAGCGATGACTTTGTTTTTTTCCATGACAAAATCTCCAAGATTCTAGAAAAGCAAGTACGTCTGTAGCTGAACTCTGTACTTGCATAAGAATCACATACATGAAATAATTTAGTCAGGATTTGCATCTCTCTGCTTGTACTACTTCATCTCAGTTCATCTTGTTATATGACAGATCACAATATACTTCTAAACAGGCTAATA